GCCCAGCAGGACAGGCATCTACTATCTAGCTGGATACAAATATAAGATGCTAAACCAAGAGTGCTCATGCTCTGTTGAAAAACAGTAGAATAACTGAAGGCAAACCAAAGGGCTCTGCTTCCGCATCACTGTATAGCTGAGAGGTGAGCTTCAGACAAGCTGAGGATCATATGGCCTTCCAGCTGTTGCTGGATTGCAGCTCCAAAGATCTCTCACCTAAGACTAAGCTGGTTATGTCTGGTTGGTACTTATTAACATCTGGAGGGTGATATGCTCCCCACTTCTGGTGTACAGGCTGCTGGGGAAGGGAAGTGTCCTTTCCTGCTGTTATTGTGCTTAACTTAGCAAATATAGGAATCTTTCTGAATTTTTCTCTATTTTTAACCTGTTTAGTGTCACAGTTGCAACCTTCTTCTGTTGTACAATCCAGATATTGTCTCTCCTCATTATCACAACAATATACCCACAACAAAACACACTAATCACCCATCTCCTGAAAAGGACAAAAGCTGATCTCCCAGCCATAAAGACTCAACTCCCAAACAAACTACACCAGAGCACAGAGTGCTGTCCTCTGAAGATGCCAGCCACAGAGACTGGCGAAACGTTAGGAAGAACAATCTTCAGAACACGGCCAAAGAGCCTGAAAATCCCACAACAACCAATCAAGATATCGCTTGCGGTTGAACTGCAGTTGTAGGGACATAGCTTTTTCTTTTCTTTTTGCCCAACTTGTACACTATATTGCCCACCATTATTGCAGCTGGCAACATAAGCATCATGGTCCCCAATTTGATTCTTGTGTTATTATTAGCAGAGAGGTTAGAAAAGATACTTTTTGGACTCCAATTCCCTGAAGTCATCGGTAAGAGTTATACTCTGTAAAAGTAAAATTTCTAACCTCTGGTGGGGAATGCTTGCAGGATGAATTCAGATGTTTGTTTTGTTTTGTTTGTTTGTTTGTTTGCAAAGCTGCTCTAAGAGTGCAAATGGTGAAAGGAAAGGCGTCGATTATTTTCAGGACTGCTGGTATACAGAAAGAGATGTTAGTCTTGTCCTCCACTGCTGCAGTTCTTGAGGAAGATCCCACCCCTGAAGCTGCCATTTGTGTGGAGAGAGATCAGGGAATCCCTTTCTACATACCAAAGGTCCCCAAAGCAAGTTCAAATTCTGATAAATATCACCAACTCTTGGCATTAAAAAAAAAACAAGTACAATAGATGTAAACTCTGCATAAGTCAGGCTGGCTCCATCTTTGCTGTCCTTCTGCAAACAGGCGAAGATTTTCTCTTCCAGCAAGCTTTCCTTGAATGATTGGCTGCATGATTGAGATTTTTAATGGACCTTCCTGCCTGGAATGTTTCTGGTGTCACTTTTGTTTACCATCTTTTAATGTGGTATTTATTTGATCCTTTTTAGTGTTTGTATACTTATTGTTTTTAGCTTTAAATATTGTCTTTTAATGGTGTAAGCCCTCTTAAGGAAATAGGCGGAGTAAAACTTTCAAATCAATCAATCAAAATAGAAAGATGCATCACATCTTTAGCCTTCCCTAAAAACATCATCACATTGTGAAATGAGTGGTAGGAAAACAAGTCCTTGATGGGGCAGAAACTAAGAAATTATAAGAATTCACTGAGTAAGATCACATCTCCTCTTCCCCCATGTGCTGCACTGCAGAGGAACAGACAGCTCACTTTTGCAAAGAATTGGGAAATTAGATAGGGCTGCTCGAAATCAGGCCAAGGGCCACATGTAGCCTTTGGCAGGGACCCCTCAGGAGGACACCCTTTTGCCACAGATGCTATTAGGGGGATACATTCTATTTGTCCATCAGGATAAGGACATTTTCCATCAATGATGATCTCTGCCCCAGAAGCTGGAGAGGTTACTTCGCTGGAATACAACTCTCAGCCGCTGGCTGGGAGATTCTGGGAGCAGTGGTCTAAGAAATTAACATTTCCATGCTAATGTGAAAGTCCAGTCTCTACTTGTTGGAAGCTGTAGGGATTCTTTGGTGCTTAACCTGGAAATTAGGAGGGAGAAGAATTTGCAAAGCCCAGCAAGAACCCCATTCCCGAACATAGCAAACAACAGGGCTGAAGGACAAAGCTGTAGCATTTATTACCATTTACAAATTGTATTATTGATACAAATGTTTTAACCAATAACAATATATGAATATCAGAATATATTACAGCACATTAAAACATCATACAGGTTTGCAAACATACAGAGCAATTTGGCTTGTACCATGTTAAAAAAAAGTAGAAAAAATTGGGGAAGGGGCGAGGAGGAAGGGGGGGGGGGACAGGAGGCCCTTTTGTCACCTTGGTCAGTTTACCTGGTATGTACAAAAGATATTGAACAGACTGGAAAATCTTTTTGAACGTTCAGAGTCGTGTAGGGTGCCTTGCCATTAGCAAGATCAAAGCTCAGTCTGAGCCAACAGAAAAAGAAGAAAAATATGAACATGCACTTCTATTATAGCCTCCCCCAATCCGGTACCCTCCAGAGGTGCTGGATTGTGGCACCCATCACCCTCAGCCAGCTGGGGATGATGGGCTTTGTAGCCAGAGGCATCAAGAGGGCATAGAGTTAAGAGGGGTGGCTTATTGGCTCTTTGCGGTCTCCTGTGCCACTGTGTGATAAAACACTTGCTACCTTATGGGTCAGCAGCGGGAGGCTGTCAAATGAAATCCGGTCCATTGAAAGCAGTTTGCCTACCAAGAATTGCAAAGCACAGAGAACGTAATTGGACAAAGAGATATTTCCAGCAATCATTTATCAACAAACTGCTTTAAGGTAGCTATAGGAGAGATTCTTCACTTTTTAAATTGTTACTGTCCAGAATTTTACTGGGGATGGGAAATGCATGCAATTCACACACCAGAGTAACTCCTCCCCAACACTGTATGGGAATGGCAGCCTCTACGGCATGGGTTCCCAACCTGTGGGTCTCCATAGTTATTTTTAGTTGCACTTATTTTTATATTTATTATGCTATTTCATTTAATCCTCTTAGCCCATAGATAGTTAATTTGTACTTGGAGTGTGAAGGGCTCTTCATGAGGAGGCTTTTTTGCGGGGGAGGGGGGAGAGATGAAGGGAGAGCCATTTCCACACCCAAAAAAGTAAATGAAACTCAAAATGTGTTGACATTTTTTCCCTTCTCAAATTCTATCTAGTACAGACAGATTTTCAGGTTCCCCCCCCATTATGTATTATTATTAGTTTAGAATTATATTCTGAAAAATCTATTTTAATGTCTTTTCTCTACCCTGTTAAAAATGCCTTTTGATGCAAACGTGGCAGGGACTTCGTGGCTTCAAAAAGATTGGAAAACACTGCTGTACATGTCAAACTGGACGGTGGTGTGGGTGGCTATGTACCACCCCTTCTCACACAGTCACATCCTTGACATTACAGCACTAAAACAAATGCTCCTAAAAGCACAGCGTGAGCTACCCTCAAAAAATCTCCTGTTCTTGGTTTTGTTGGTAAACTTACAATTATTGGTAAAGGTAAAGGTTCCCCTTGACAATTTATCCAGTCGTGTCTGACTTTAGGGGGCAGTGCTCATCTCCGTTTCCAACCCATAGAGCCAGCGTTTGTCTGTAGACAATCTTCCATGGTCACCTGGTCAGCGCGACTAGACACAGACTGCCGTTACCTTCCCACCGTGGTGGTACCTATTTATCTACTCTTTGCATTTTGCATGCTTTCGAACCACTAGGTTGATAGGAGCTGGGACAATTATTGAGAACTGGGAAAATCAGAACTTTCCAGTTACTTTTTGGACTCTAAATCTGTGAATTTCCCAGCCAATAATGTTAGTAATGCTATGTTAGGGTCCAAAAAAGTGGTTTCTCCATGCTATGGAAGAAGGGAATAAAGGTGTCAGCAGCTTAGAGAAAGAACTGTCCAAACATTTCCCTGGGCAATTGGAAGGCCTTTAGACATACACCAAAGCAGCTCTCTGGATCTCAGATTGTCAGGTGGATCTGATCTAGCAACATTTTACACTCTTGCCATGGCGAGAAAAAGATGGATGAGAGGATTTGGGATGGAGGTCGCCATTCCACAATGTCATGTGTTTTTATTCCAATTGCGATACAGGTTTGTTTTTTTAAAACATCCCTCTTCTTCAAGTTTCATGTTGTGCAAGATCCAACACACCCTAGAAGAGTTTCTTGTTCTCAGTTCCGTATGGAATCTCTGGACTGTTTTATTATCAAAAGTCCTGACAAATCAAGAGCCTGGTAGCAGAAACAGGCTTGCAATCTATTCACTTGTGCTGGGCTATTTTACTAGCTTGTGGCACGCAGGGTAAGATCCAGAGGCATGGCTAGGCTACTAAACCTCAGAAGCTGGAAATGTTTCTTTTGGACTACAAATCACAGAATCACCCAACCAGTATGGCCATGGTGACAAGGATTTCTAAGAGCTGTATGCCCAAGACAGTTTATTATTTATTTATTTAAAATATTTCTATCCTGCCTTTCTCTCCAAATGGATCCAAGGTAGACTCAAGACAATCTTTCCAAATTCTGGATCTGTCCTGCCTCTCCTCACTGTTTTGAACTCCTGGCTTCTGTAACAGATCCATCTGTGAAAGCATATATTCCAACATGGGTCCATCTCTGCAGGATCAGCTGCTCTCAAGAGTCAATCAGAGAAAAATAAAATTAAAAGTCCCTGGGGTTTTGCCTCCAAGGATATAAAATGTGCTTGTGTCAAGTTAGCCCTTCCTCTCTTGAAGGAAAGAGGGGAATCATGCTGGATTGTTCTTCTTCCATAAGAAAAAGGCAAGAAGATTCAAGCTGATGGAAGAATTAAAAACTCTTCCCACTGGACGTTGTGCGTCTCCACCTGGCAGTTTTGAAGCTCAAGTTAGCAAAAGAAAAGATACCTTCTTCCTTCTCTCCACAGTTAAATCCACAAACCATTGTCTGTTGCCTCAAGACATTAATAAGTTTCCAAAGGCACTGTATTTTGTGTGTGTGTGTGTGGGGGGTGAGCTGACTGTGGCCATCACTGCATTCATGCCTACAGAACTATAATCACAAGAGCTGGACATCCATGGATTATGGCTCCTGCAGGTGCCATGAACTCAAAGGAGATACTTTTTCACCATTCTCCAAGATGGTGGAAACTGCCATGGTCAGGATTAATAGATTCCTGCATTTACAGATTACAATTCCTCTCAGGTACAGGCCTAACTCTACAAATTTAAAACACTTTTACCTGGCTAGTCTCCCTGTCAATACAACATAAGGATTTAAGATGCTCTTAAAAATCCCAGCAGTCTTCCTTTGACAGACTGCTAGGTTTCTTTAGAAGAGCAACGTAAGACACGAGCTTGCAAAAGTTAAATCTTCTTGGAGTACAAATTCCATAACCTTCCAGTCACTGTGGAGGATTCTTGGAAACGTAGTCCAAAAAGTGGTCCCTTTTCCCCAGTTTTGAGGATACCTGGACATGAAAAGTGACTCATCTCCAGTTTACCTCCAGTAGTTGATATACTGCCTCTGAACATGGAAGAGTTCTAGCTGTTGGTCAGTAAACAGCCAAAAGGTTTCTAAGAAAGAAGTCTCCACGTTTCCCAGTTCCATTTACTGGAAAGCAGAACAACTGAAGTGGTTAAAAACTCATCGGAAGAGGAGCCCAAGCAACAGATAGGCAGAGACATATTGTGCACAAGTGAAAGGGGAAAATAAATAAATGTGAGACTCCAAGACATGTTGCTTCAACACGGAAGAACTTAGCACAAAGTGCTATGGTCTCTATACATGTGCACCTTGCTGCACTTACAGGGTTTGGTGACACGATATCAGTCAGTGTTGCCATCCCCCAACAGATGGATGCATTGCGCTTTGGGGGGCATGGCAGACTGAATTGCTCTTTCACCGACAAAAGAACTGAGACACTGGGGAGGCTAGGACAGCACCCCACACTTGTGGTCAGAGACCCAGAAGGAATAAGCAGTTGCTATTAATACTGACATGATAACATTCCTTAGAAGGACAGATCTACCCCAGCACGCACTGCTCAGGGTGCCACATTAGCAGCCTTAGCTGTGGGATTTGGGACAAGGCATACTGCAGGCAGAGTTCAGGAAAATTGCTTTTTAGGATTGCAAACTTCCTAAATTCTGCAATCTAGCAGGATGCGGTTCTGGATCGGGATATGCCATTTGGGATCTTCTGATTATCAACCCCATAATTCTATTTTTTGGGGGATTTCCATCTGGCAGGCAGACACCTACATGTGTCTCACCTGGGAGAAAGGCCGCAACATGAAGGCTTTGCGCCCTAGCTTCACCCAAGCTTCCTGATCAGAAAGGAAGCTGCCGTAGGGTAGCGGTGAGTTTCTTTTCTCACCAGGAAGCTTGGGCAGAGCTAAGCCTAGCTAGGCCACAAAGCCATGAAGCTTCTGCCTTTCTCCCAGGTGAGACACATTTAGATGTCGGTCTGTCAAGTAGGACTCCCAAAATGGAAAATTATGGGATTTATTGTCCAAAAATTCCATAAAGCACACCCTTAGTTTAGGAACCTGAAAAAACAACATTCCCAGATTTTTGGCTGATGCATCCTTCCCCAACCTTGGCCCCTTCCAGATGTTTGTAGCCCAACTAAAATGGCCAATACTGAGGGATCACGGGAGTTGAGGTTCAAAAGGTCTGGACAGAGTCCGATTAGGGAAAGTTTAATGTAGTGTTTTAGAAGGCCCTGATTGCTCAATCAATGACACCTAGCAAACATTCAAACCACCTACCTTCAGGATTTGTGAGCCTCTCCCACACCTTTTCCCTGCTGCTAAATATGTCTGCTGCTGCTCCATTCTCAATGCCATGTTTTCTCATGGCACATTCCCAGTGCATACTTATAGGGTTTCTCTGCCTTTATATCAGAGGTGGGCCATGTTCTACTAGATGTTGTTGGCTGAAACTCCCAGCATTCCTCACCAGAGGCTGAGAGGAGCTGCAGCCTAATAACATCTGGAAAGCTGGGCTTGGCCTGTGCCTGCTTTAAATAACAAACAAGGGGCACAACATTGCCCCTTTCAATGCACGTGGATACCTAGACCTCCGTCCTGGCTTTAGAACTGTATCCTGGCCCTTTTGGAGCTTGAAGCAAAAGGCCATGAGAGGTAGCTGTAAGAATATGGGACCAAGGGCCCCAAAGGGCAGTGTTCAGTGGCATGGGGGAAGCGTGCTCGAGGTGGGGCTACTGTAAGAGCTCGGGAAGAGCACAAGAAAACCCACATGTGCTTCTAGGAAATAAAACCTGGTCTATTGGGACTGTGCGTTTCTCTTTCGCTCTGAGGCTGTGCATTCAGTTGCGCTATAAACCAAGGGCACCGACAAAGTATTATTATTATAATTATTATTATCAACAAGAAAGGGCTGCAATTTTACACAGATGCCATCATGCAGTTACATAAGCACATTTTTGCTTTTGAAAATTAAAAAAAGGGGGAGGACGCACTGGATTTTTTGTTTCTTTTTGCATTTTTTTCTCTTAAATTAAATCAAATCACTTGATAGAAAATACGTATGTATAATTTCCCCCACCCACACCCACCATTGCCCTTATCTACACATAATATACTTATTTATAAAACTCAAAAGAAAAAAAAGAAAGAAAAGGGCCATTCCTTCCTTTTAAGTCAAAGCCGACATCGCTGGACCGCCATTTACCATGGTTTTGCGCCCCCTGCTGGCCAAGGGTTGCATGGGGTGGCAGTTCGAGGTGCCATTGAGCATGGCGCCAGAAGTGGGGTTGGCGGGAATGCTCACAGTTGTGGTGTTGGAGCTCGGGGAGCCGTGGGAAGGTGTGGCAGGACTCGGCAAGGAGGAGGAGGTGGTGGCTGGTAGGGTGGCAGGACTGTTGGCCTTGTCGCTGACCGATTCACACTCCGAGGCACCGCTAGTGTTGGTGCATTCTGAGTTGGGTGGCTGGGACGAGAGTTTTAGTCTCTTGCAGGCTGGCTGGACCCGGTACTTCAAGGGAAGGGGACCGTTCTGCGGAGGGAAAAACCAAAGAGTAAGGAGATGGCAGACAACAGGCTGTGTTGCATCTTTGTGTTAATCCAAACTGGTTCTTGGTGTAGGGTGGGTGAGTAGAAGAACTCTTTAACACAACTCCCAACCCACCCTAGCATGACAAGTGATGCTGCTGTAGAGAGGTGGTTCCTGTAATGT